TGCTCTCATCTTTACTCTTGCTTTGGCCTCCTGCTGTTCTGTGGTGGGTTATACTTTCACTGCTATTACCACCTTGGGACCTCCAGAGTGAAGCGTTCCCACTAATGTAATCACTTTCTTCTCCGCTGTCTCCTCTCTCCAGCTCATCAAAATTCCAGCGATTTTTAATCAGCAATGCCACCCTCCACCCCCTGTTCCCTCTGTCTTTCCTCAGGATTTGGTTTTCCCGTTGGAAAGATGGCATCTGTTATCATACCTGTAAGGTTGGTTTCTGTGAGAGCTATGATGTCCGGTGATGCTTCTTTGACTCTTTCATGCCACTCCTCCCACTTATTTGTTATTCCATCAGCGTTTGTGTACCATACCTTCAGTTTCCTTTCCAACACTGTGGTTTGGGGGGCCTGTGAGGGTGGGAGACCTGGTGGCATACTGTGGGATTCTATAGCTCGGTGTTGGGTGGAGGCTGTGGGTATGGATTGTAGTGTGTGTTGGGATGGTTGTGATAGGTTGTATGGTTCTGAGAATAGTTGTGTGTGTGCGTGCCCTTGCTGTTCTGTTCTGCTCTGACTGACCTCTGCTGGTTCCATCCTTGTCTCTTTTCCTAGCTCCTTTCGCTTTTTTGTCCTCTCCCTCAGCTGCTGTCGTTCTGATTTTGTTCTGTCTCTGTCTAGGAACACCCTCTTGTACTCTTCCGAGTATTTTCAATCGTGGTTTCTCTTGGAGGATCCTGTTCTGCACTGTTTCCGTCCTGAGAATCAGCTTGATTGGTCGGTTTCCCCCCTTCGGTACCCCCCTATTCTCTGAAATTTACAATCTCGTCCATCTCTTCACCTATTTCCGTGATGATTTTCTCAATCTCCTTTCTTTCTTCCTACTGCCTTTCAGTGTGTGTCGTTTCCTCTCTCTCCTGAAGCCCATGGATAAACACTGATTTTGCCCTTTCCTCCTCCATTGCCTCACCCTCTGTGACTCTGGATCCTGCCTGTATGTGGTCAGTTTCTCCCTTGATTTTTCCAGTGGCTCTTGATAGCATGGTTGTGCCTCAGCATTCGACCTATCACCCTCTCCATCTGCAACCAGCTGTTCTTCCCTTTCACTCCTTGGTCCTCCTTGGCAGGCTGATATGACCTTAGCATAATTCATAATTCCTTCCTTCCTGTTCGGCCTCGCAGCTTCATATGCTGTGTCTTCTCTGGTCACTGCCCCTGTAACTCACTTCAGCCTATTTATCTCAACTTCTATGACCCTTATCTTGGCTACTGCAGTTTCGAATTGTGCCTCCCAATTCTTTGTCTTCTTCTCTAACCTCTTTTCCAATTTCACAGAGAGCTCTTTCTCCATTTTTTCAGAAAGCTCTCCTAATTTTCTCTCCTACTCTTGTTCCATCATTTTCCACTGCTCCTCCATCCACTCCTCCCTACCAGAACCATTCTCATCTGATCCTTGGTTCCTGCGAGTCCTCACTATTATTTTTTTTTTGGTGAGAGAAGAGAGAAGGGAAAGGTAGAAGGAGAGAGAGAGGGGAAGAGTGAGAAGGGGAAAGGGGGGAGGGGAGAGTGTGGGGAGGGGGAAAGAGAGAGAAGGGAAGGGAAGGAGAGGGGGAGAGTGAGAAAGGGAAAAAATGGAGAAACAGATGGAGAGAGAGAGAGAGAGAGAGAGAGAGAGAGAGGAGAGAGAGAGAGAGGAGAGAGAGAGAGAGAGAGAGAGAGAGAGAGAAGGGAAGGTAGAGAGAGGGGGATAGTGAGAAGGAAAAAGGGGAAGAGAGAGTGGGGAGTGAGAGAGAGAGGGGGAGAGAGAGTGAAGGGAAGGGTAGGAGAGGGGAAGAGTTAGAAGGGGAAAATGGGGAAGAGAGAGAGCAAGAGAGAGAAAGAGAGAGAGAGGGGAGAGAGGGAGAGAGGGAGAGAGAGGGAGAGGGGAGAGCGAGTGAGAGAGAGAGGGGGGAGAGAGAGTGAAGGGAAGGGTAGGAGAGGGGGAGAGTTAGAAAGGAAAATGGGGAAGAGAGAGAGCAAGAGAGAGAGAGAGAGGGGAGAGAGACGAGAGAGAGGAGGAGGGAGAGGAGAGAGAGAGGAGAGAGAGAGAGAGAGATGAGAGAGAGGAGAGAGAGGGAGTAGGAGGGAGGGGGAGAGAGAGGGAAGAGAGGGAGGGAGAGAGAGAGAAGGCAAAGAGAGGAGGGGGAGAGGAGAGGGGGGAGAGAGGGGGTAGAAGGGGAAAGAGGGGGAGATGGAAGAGCGAGAGGGGAGCGAGAGGCTAGGGGGGAGAGGGGAGGGGAGGGAGGGGGAGAGGATGGGGAAAGGGAGAGGGGAGAGATAATGGGAGGGGAGAGATGTTAGAGGGGGAGAGATGTTAGAAGGGGGGAGGTGTTAGAAGTAAGAGATGTTAGAGGGGAGAGATGGGAGAGGGAGAAGAGAGAGAGAGAGATATAGGTAGAGAGTGATAGGTAGAGAGATATAGGTAAAGAGTGAGAAAGGTAGAGATAGGTCTCTACCTAGGATAGGAAGAGAGGGAGAGAGAAGGAGCGAGGTTCAGATGGTCAGTTCAAGGTCGGTGTGAAATCCTGTGTATGTGTGTGTTTGCGTGTGTACTACAGCTTACAAGTGCTTGTTCCTGTGTGTGTGTGTGTGTGTGTACTCACCTAGTTGAGGTTGCGGGGGTCGAGTCCGAGCTCCTGGTGTGTGTGTGTGTGTGTGTGTGTGTATGTGTGTGTATGTGTATGTGTGTGTGTGTGTGTGTGTGTGTGTGTGTTGTGTGTGTGTGTGTGTGTGTGTGTGTGTGTTGTGTGTGTGTGTGTGTGTGTGTGTGTGTGTGTATGTGTGTGTGTGTATGTGTGCATGTGTGTGTGTGTGTATGTGTGTGTGTGTGTGTGTGTGTATGTGTGTGTGTGTATGTGTATGTGTGTGTGTGTGTGTGTGTGTGTGTGTGTGTGTGTGTGTGTGTGTGTGTGTGTGTGTGTGTGTGTGTGTGTGAGAGAGAGAGAGAGCCCCACTTCTAAGTATTCATACTGCTAATAAATACCGGTAATACCAGTAATTCTAAGCTTACCAATACTTGTAACACTTATCGATTCTACTTATAAAATTCAGAAAGTAGCTAGCTTGTAAAATTTAGCTTGTGTCAGCTTAAGTGTCTGACGTTATCCCTCACTACCGCTTTACTCCTTGCACTCTCGTCTATGCTATTTCTACTCTAATTCTGGTAATGGCTTGCAGGAGTGAGTGACCAGTATCTAACAGTGTGTGTGTGTGTGTGTGTGTGTGTGTGTGTGTGTGTGTGTGTGTGTGTGTGTGTGTGTGTGTGTGTGTGTGTGTGTGTGTGTGTGTGTGTGTGGTGTGTATAGTGAGAGATTAACATAATGGTTCACTGCAGTCTTGGCCTTCTACAGTCGACTGCCTTTCAAATTTCCTAGCCACTTTAATGCCATTTTGCGGTCATCAATCTCGAGGCCATTTCGGTCATAAATGGGGGTAATGAAAAGGTGGCCATTTGCGGTGCATTGGCCGTGAACGGGGTGGCAAGAGGGCTTTTCACACTCCAGAAATTCTATCTTCTCACAAACCTGTCAACAACCTTCCATGGTTTATTTTCCCGCACCTTGAAACGCATGACAGGATGCAAACTTCCGAGGTGTTGATCACTGGTCAGTGTGAAATATGCAGAGCAGTGAAGGATGAGAATCAGAGCAGTGGGTTATGAGAATCAGAGCAGTGAAGGATAAGAATCAGAGCAGTGAAGAATGAGAATCAAAGCAGTGAAGGATGAGAATCAGAGCAGTGAAGGATAAGAATCAGAGCAGTGGGTTATGAGAATCAGAGCAGTGAAGGATAAGAATCAGAGCAGTGGGTTATGAGAATCAGAGCAGTGAAGGATAAAAATCAGAGCAGTGAAGAATGAGAGTCAGAGCAGTGAAGGATGAGAATCAGAGCAGTGGGTAATGAGAATCAGAGCAGTGAAAGATAAGAATCAGAACAGTGAAGAATGAGAATCAGAACAGTAGGTTATGAGAATAAAACAATACCACGGGCGGAGGATAGAACCCGCGATCAGAGAGTCATAAAACTCAAGACCGATGCGTTAGCCACTGAGCCAGCTGGCTACAATAAGATTCATCCAACTAGGTATATTTATACACCATATGAAGGTTAGCATAGGCACCACTGACCACAAATGCAAGGTTTTATAGATGACTCTCCCGCCAGCGTGGCCGTGACGAACTCTAGCTCAAGTCCCCTCAAAGCCGTCAAAGTGGTCACAGTGATGCCTATGCTAACCTTCCTATGGCGTACAGATATACCTAGTTGGATTAATTTTATTGTAGCCAGCTGGTCCAGTGGCTAACGCGTCGGTCTGGGGTTTTATGACTCTGATCGTGGGTTCTATCCCCCGCCACGTGGTTTGTTGTTTGCATCGTGGTCATACGATTTCGTGAGTTATGAGTCCCAGAGGAGTGATGAATGAGAATCAGAACAGCGAAAAATGAGAATCAGAGCAGTGACGAATGAGAATCAAAGCAGTGAAGGATGCGAATCAGAGCAATAGGGTATGAGAATCAGAAGAGAGGGGTATGAGGATTTTTTTATTTTTTTTTTATTTTATTTCCAATTTGTGCACACATACAGAGGTACAAAAAAAAAAAAAGATAAAGATAAAGAGCGAAGTATATAAGCATCAGTGAGGAGGAAAGTATGAGAACTGGCGTATAGAGTGTAGTGTGGGGTAACTATTATAGAGGGAGTGCAATGACAGACCTACTTTAATTTGCATGTCAGCGGCCTACACACACAATGAAAACTTAATTGCGTATATGCGTATAATATCTTCGCAGTTGTTTAATAATAGTAACGACATTATGTATACCAAGAAGTACATCTCTGTGTATGAACACTGAGAGATTATTACCGTTTAGCAAACACTCTGCGTTGTATGACCCACACGGGTTTAGCCCTTCAAACAAACTATAATAGCAATGTTCTTGTTATATGTACTAATAACACCTTTTGTTCCAGGACTTATTCAGTCAGTTGGAATAAGTGGTGCAGTAAAAAATCAGGACTTTAAATACGGAAGACATATATATTCGTAATAATATATATTTTCGTAAGAATATACACATTCGAAAGTATTTACATGTGTAAGCGTTGTTAACCAGGGGATAAGTTAGTATAACGATGATTGAACCACAACAGCCACTGCTTCCAACAGTGTCAAGCTAGTTCCAGTACTGCTCGCTATGATGGCTGACCACATTGACCAGCTGTACCAAGGGGATAACCTTGTTCATGTTGGCTACAAGAACATCACAAGGGTGTCCTTCCAGCTGCCCAAAATGAGGTGTGATGACCAACTAGATGTGATTAAGAATGGAGAAAGATTAAATGTTGACGCAGTTCGAACAGAAAAGGCCCAGTGTGATTCTTCCAAATTAAACACCGTGATGAGTGTGTCGGACAGGCCTGTGGCTAAACCAGATGTCTTGTTGACTGAAAGTGACAGACGTGAACTTCCTGATCTTATTTTGCCCACCGCACCAATCTACAGCTTCGATGAGGATGGGGAAATTTTGCAGCGTGTGAATACAATCACCCCCAGCAACAGTGAAGATTGTGGCTACCACAGTGAACCTTCTGAGGCTCTGTACGACGATACACTTCCGTGCAACATCAGTGACCACGTATCACCACCTCTCACGTCTACACCTAACAAAGACCTTCGACTTGATGTTGACTCGTGGCCTCGCATAGACCAGTCTTACGTCGTCAGAGAGGCTAGTGAGACCTCAGTCACATTGCCATCCTTGCACCCGCTTATATCAGAGGAAGAACTGCAGTCCCTCCCGAATATCGACGACACACCTAGCGAGAGCTTTCACCTGAACCAGCCAGGCAGTGTGCCTCAGGACGACACCGAGGTTAACATCAAGTCAATACCTAATATCACCATCTTCAGCGAAGCTGGGAGGATTGATACCACTGAAGCAATTCCCAAGATTGACTTCCACGCTGCATCCATTGAGATGGTGGACGACTACCTCGAAGACAACTTCGATGAGCACCAGCTTAGTGACCTGTGCTCCACCGTCCTCGGAGAAACAGGTTAGTGCCTCTGTCTCACAGTTAGTGTTCTGTTTATGTCATGTTAACACTTGTAGATTTCCTTAGTCCCTTTCCCTCATCTCCCCGTTATACGTTCTTAGCTTACATCAGGTCAGTAATAGTGGTATCACCTCAAATTTTTTGAAGAAATATGTGAATAAGCGTTCAGATGTACATATTATGCATAATAGCATGGAGCAGTGCAAGAAAAGGCTTTATAGAGAAAGACCTTCAGTGGAGGGCTCCATAATGCTGGTGAAGGACTCGTGAATGATGGAATTGCATCTCTCCTGCCTTTTATTGGGTCAATCCTCCTAACCGCTGCCCCTTCCCCAACCAACCAACCAACCATCTAGGTCCTGCATGACCATTACGACTGTAGCCCTTCGATATAAATGTAATAATAATCAATGAAAATGGTTTATATACCGACAAGTATATTAACAAGACAATATGTGGTTTTTGGTATTTTATTGTAAAGATGTGTCGTCCACCAGGGACTTTTATCTATTGATAAGGTCCCGGTGGGCGAAACATCTCAATAAATTGAAGATAGAGACACTTACGCAACGTATGGGAATCCTTAATTAAGATTCCCATATGTTGCATAAGTCTCAATCTTCAACTTGTCGGTTTTCAAAACCATTTATCACATCTCAATAAATGCCATAAAATGTACATTATCTTATTAAATATATTATGACAATCAAATGATTCTTGGAGATACTGAAAAAAATCCTTGATGCCACATTGATATGATTGCACAATGAATATTTCAACTGTCATTAAGATGCGTTCGTAAAAATCCTGAAGTGAGATAATTCCAGTACCAGTTTTACTGTTTGTAAACACTAATTTTCGTTATGTGAATGGTAAATAATACCGAAAAGATTATAAATAAGACACAGTTGCATGCTCTGGGTAAGATAAGATAAGATTTGTTAGTATTTTTAACCTAGGGGAGTTAGTCGAGGATTGTCTGTCTGATTTCCATTCGGGTCCTTCAATCTTGTACCCCCCCCCAGGATGCGACCCACACCAGTCGACTAATACTAAGGTACCTACTTACTGCTAGATGAACATGGACAGTAAGTGTGAGGAAATATGCCCAACGTTTCACCCGTGCCGGGGATTAAACCACAGCCACTTAATGTGTGAAGCGAGAGCTTCAATCAGTGACTTTTTCAGTTCAGAGAATATATACCGGAAGCAATAGAAAACGAGGTAATCAGCTCCTTAAGCCTTGACTAAAGCTAAGGAACCGGACACCTTCTGTCAAGGATCAGGGACTGATTGCCTCGTCTTCCACTGTCTTGGGTGTATATTCTCTCACCTGAACTGAAAAATTGCCTCTTATTGGCGAAAGTCATCATAGTGAAGATAAGCAGATGTTGCACATTTGCTTTATAAACATGTGCCATATGCACATGTGCCTTATGCACATGTGTTTTATGCACATGTGTCTTATGCACATGTGTCTTATGAACATGTGTCTTATGCACATGTGTCTTATGCACATGTGTCTTATGCACATGTGTCTTATGCACATGTGCCTTATGCACATGTGTCTTATGCACATGTGTCTTATGCACATGTGTCTTATGAACATGTGTCTTATGCACATGTGTCTTATGAACATGTGTCTTATGAACATGTGTCTTATGCACATGTGTCTTATGAACATGTGTCTTATGCACATGTGTCTTATGAACATGTGTCTTATGCACATGTGTCTTATGCACATGTGTCTTATGAACATGTGTCTTATGCACATGTGTCTTATGCACATGTGTCTTATGGAAAAATGTACTTATGCCACATGTGTTTTATGCACATGTGTCTATGCACATGTGTCTTATGCACATGTGTCTTATGAACATGTGTCTTATGAACATGTGCCTTATGCACATGTGTCTTATGCACATGTGTCTTATGAACATGTGTCTTATGAACATGTGTCTTATGCACATGTGTCTTATGCACATATGTCTTCTGCACATGTGTGTTGTTCCCGGCTCTAGACCTGAAACCAGAGACAGACGCTGAGGATTCCTCCGTGCACTATGTTGAGAAATGATCTTGTTCCATTGGGATTAATCTCCTTAAGCTCTAATCAATTTGAGCTGCCACTTCTGATCCACCAGACTGTTGAACTTACAGAGGTGATCAGCGAGCAGAGAGCAACAACTGTGAGCATTGATCAGTTCAAACTTTAACAAAGTTAGTTTCTTGTAATTATCAGTTCACCTGTAACAACGTTACAGTAACAACGTTACAGTAACAACGTTACAGTAACAACGTAACAGTAACAACGTTACAGTAAAAAACGTACAGTAACAAAGTTACAGTAACAACGTAACAGTAACAACGTTACAGTAACAACGTTACAGTAACAACGTAACAGTAACAACGTTACAGTAACAACGTTACAGTAACAACGTAACAGTAACAACGTTACAGTAACAACGTTACAGTAACAACGTAACAGTAACAACGTTACAGTAACAACGTTACAGTAACAACGTTACAGTAACAACGTAACAGTAACAACGTTACAGTAACAACGTAAAAGTAACAACTGTAACAGTAACAACGTTACAGTAACAAAGTTACAGTAACAACGTTTTCAGTAACAACGCTACAGTAACAAAGCTACAGCAACAACGTAACAGTAACAACGTTACAGTAACAACGTTACAGTAACAACGTTACAGTAACAACGCTATAGCAACAACGTTACAGTAACAAAAGTTACAGTAACAACGTTACAGTAACAAACGTTACAGTAACAACGTTACAGTAACAACGTTACAGCAACAACGTTACAGTAACAACGTTACAGTAAACAAGTTACAGTAACAAAAGTTACAGTAACAACGTTACAGCAACAACGTTACCGTAAAACGTTACAGTAACAAAAGTTACAGAACAAAATTACAGCAACAACGTTTCAGTAACAACGTTACAGTAAAAACGTTACAGTAACAACGTTACAGTAAAAAACGTTACAGCAACAAAAGTTACAGTAACAACGTTACAGTAACAAAGTTACAGTAACAACGTTACAGTAACAACGTTACAGTAACAACGTTACAGTAACAACGTTACAGTAACAACGTTACAGTAACAACGTTACAGTAACAACGTTACAGTAACAACGTTACAGTAACAACGCTACAGTAACAACGTTACAGTAACAACGTTACAGTAACAACGTTACAGTAACAACGTTACAGTAAAAAACGTTACAGTAACAACGTTACAGTAACAACGTTACAGTTTAAAAACGTTACAGCAACAACGTTTTCGTAACAACGTTACAGAACAACGTTACAGTAACAACGTTACAGTAACAAGTTACAGTAACAACGTTACAGTAACCAAAGCTACAGTAACAACGTTACAGTAACAACGTTTACAGTAACAACGTTACAGTAACAACGTTACAGTAACAACGTTACAGTAACAACGCTACAGTAACAAAGCTACAGTAACAACGTTACAGTAACAAAAGTTACAGTAACAAAGCTACAGTAAACAACGTTACAGTAACAACGTTACGTAACAACGTTACAGTAAAAACGTTACAGTAACAACGCTACAGTAACAAAGCTACAGTAACAACGTTACAGTAACAACGTTACAGTAACAACGTTACAGTAACAACGGTTCGTAACAACGTTACGTAACAACGCTACAGTAACAATGTAACAGTAACAACGTTACAGTAACAACGTTACAGTAAAAACGTTACAGTAACAACGTTACAGTAAAAACGCTACAGTAACAAAGCTACAGTAACAACGTAAAAAGTAACACGTTACAGTAACAACGTTTCAGTAACAAGTTACAGTAACAACGTTTTCAGTAACAAAGTTACAGCAACAACGTTACAGCAACAAGTTACGTAACAAAAGTTAAAAGTAACAACGTTACAGTAACAACGTTACAGCAACAACGTTACAGTAACAACGTTACAGTAACAACGTTACAGTAACAACGTTACAGTAACAACGATACAGTAACAACGTTACAGTAACAAAGCTACAGTAACAACGTTACAGTAACAACGTTACAGTAACAACGTTACAGTAACAACGTTACAGTAACACGTTACAGTAAACAACGTTACAGTAACAACGCTACAGTAACAAAGCTACAGTAACAACGTTTCAGTAACAACGTTACAGTAACAACGTTACAGTAACAACGTTACAGTAACAACGTTACAGTAACAACGTAACAGTATCAACGTTACAGTAACAACGTTACAGTAACAAAGCTACAGTAACAACGTTTCAGTAACAACGTTACAGTAACAACGTTACAGTAACAACGTTACAGTAACAACGTTACAGTAACAACGCTACAGTAACAAAGCTACAGTAACAACGTTTCAGTAACAACGTTACAGTAACAACGTTACAGTAACAACGTTACAGTAACAACGTTACAGTAACAACGTTACAGTAACAACGTTACAGTAACAACGTAACAGTAACAACGTTACAGTAACAAAACTACGTAACAACGTTTCAGTAAACAACGTTTTCAGTTAACAACGTTATCAGTAACAACGTTACAGTAACAAAAGTTACAGTAACAACGTAACAGTAACAAAAAGTTACAGTTTAAAAACGTTACAGTAACAACGTTACGTAACAACGTTACAGTAACAACGCTTACGTAACAAAGTACAGTAACAACGTTACAGTAACAACGTTACAGTAACAACGTTACAGTAACAACGTAACAGTAACAACGTTACAGTAACAACGTTACAGTAACAACGTTACAGTAACAACGTTACAGTAACAACGTAACAGTAACAACGTTACAGTAACGTTACAGTAACAACGTAACAGTAACAACGTTACAGTAACAACGTTACAGTAACAACGTTACAGTAACAACGTTACAGTAACAACGCTACAGTAACAAAGCTACAGTAACAACGTAACAGTAACAACGTTACAGTAACAACGTTACAGTAACAACGTTACAGTAACAACGTTACAGTAACAACGTTACAGTAACAACGTAACAGTAACAACGTTACAGTAACAACGTTACAGTTTAAAAACGTTTTCAGTAACAACGTAACAGTAACAAAGTTACAGTAAAAAA